ATTTGACTTCACTCTCCAGGATGTCTGGCTCAAGGTCAGCAACCACACTATCTGGGGTGTACGAGACATCCATATCTTTCTGGTATAATTCCTCTGTGTATTCTTGCCACCTCTTCTTGATGTCTTCTGCTTCTATTAGGTCCTTACCACATTTGTCCTTTATTATGGTAATCTTTGTATGAAATATTCCTTTCATATCTCCAATTTTCTTAAACAGATCTCTGGTTTTTCCCATTCTATTGTTTTCTTCTATTTCTTTGCATTGCTCGTTTAAGAAGGCCTTCTTGTCTCTCCTTGCTATTTTTTGGAAATCTGCATTCAATTTCCTGTATCTTTCATTATCTCCCTCGCATTTTGCTTGCCTTCTCTCCCCTGCTATTTGTAAGGCCGCGTTGGACAGCCACTTTGCTGTCTTGCATTTCCATTTCATTGGGATGGTATGTGTTGCTGCCTCCTGTATAATGTTGCGAGCCTCCATCCATAGTTCTTCAGGCACTCTGTCCAGCAAATCTAAATCCTTAAACCTGTTCCTCACTTCCACTGTGTATTCATAAGGGATTTGACTTAGATTGTATCTTTTTTTAAAAAAATAAATATTTATTACTTTTCCAACAATTTAAACACTACAAAAACAATACAATACAAAAACACTACATAACACTAACACATTAAACTAACAAAACAAAGCAAAAACAGTTTAAAACACATCAAACAATTTCAGTATCTTATCTTTCATTCACTTATTTCAACGACCTCCTCACACCTCCTTTTTGTATTCCACTTCTATTAATTGTTTCAGCAATTCCTTTCCATCTTCCTCTGTTTTCTATCCTATAATTATCTTAACACATTCTAGTCTTATTTTTCCTTTAATACTCTATTAATCTATTTATACTTAATTCCTTATAACATTTCTACTAAAGCCATATAACTTCATTCCAACATTTTTTAACATTCATTAATTTTACAGTATTTCTGTAAATAGTCTTTAAACTTTTCCAGTCTTCTTCCACCGACTCTTCTCCCTGGTCTCGGATTCTGCCAGTCATTTCCGCCAGTTCCATATAGTCCATCAACTTCATCTGCCATTCTTCCCGGGTGGGTAAATCTTGTGTCTTCCAGTACTTCACAATAAGTATTCTTGCTGCTGTTGTTGCATACATAAAAAAAGTTCTATCCTTCTTTGGCACCAATTGGCCGACCATGCCCAGGAGAAAGGCCTCTGGTTTCTTCAGGAAGGTATATTTGAATACCTTTTTCATTTCATTATAAATCATTTCCCAGAATGTCTTAATCCTTGGGCATGTCCACCAAAGGTGAAAGAATGTACCTTCAGTCTCATTACATTTCCAACATTTATAATAATAATAATAATAATAATAATAATAATAATAATAATATCTTTATTGTCATTGCCCCCTTCGGGGACAACGAAATTACTTGACTGCTCCATAAAAACACTAATTAAACAATACAGTATAATACAGCAAGGGAGATTAGATGACTTTCAAAGTCCGGGCTTCCCATTCAGGGCCGAGATCGTTCTGGAGAAGAAGCTGTTCTTAAGACGGCTTGTTCTTGTCTTCATCGTCCTATATCTCCGTCCCGACGGCAAGAGCTCGAAGAGACAGTGACCAGGATGCGATGGATCTTTTACTATGTCCAGTGCCTTCCTATGGCACCTTGTGGCATAAATCTGCTCTAAGGTGGAGAGTGGGCAGCCAACAATGCTCTCTGCTGCCTTAACAACCCTGCACAACCCCATCCTGTCCTGGGTAGTACAGCTTCCGTACCACACACATAAGCCATAAGTGAGCACGCTCTCAATTGCACAGTGATAGAAGGCAAGCAGCAGTTTCTGCGGAAGATGGTTTTTCCTTAGTATTCTCAAAAAGTACAGTCTCTGCTGCGCCTTCTTCACAAGCCCCCTGTGTTGACACTCCAGGACAGATCCTCTTGTAATTCAATGCCCAAAAATCTGAACGTTGTTACCCTCTCCACACAGACCCCATCAATCAAAAGTGGCTGGACGTTGCTCTTCTGTCTCCTGAAGTCCACCACAAGCTCCTTTGTCTTCCTTGTATTTATGAGCAAGTTGTTAGCTCTGCACCACTCTGTCAGCCGCTCCACCTCATCTCTATAATCCGTTTCACCCTCCCTTTCAGGGATGAGCCCAATCACGGTTGTGTCATCTGCAAATTTAACAACCCTGTTATTAGGGTGAGTAGCGACACAATCGTACGTGTAGAGAATATAAAGGAGCGGACTGAGTACGCATCCCTGTGGTGTTCCTGTGTTAGTCTTGAGCATATTAGAGGTATAGGGGCCCAACCGAACCCTCTGGGGGCGGTCTGACAAAAAGTCCAATATCCACCCACAAAGTGATAACGGAAGCCCCAGATCTTCCAGTTTAGACATCAGACGTTGTGGTAGAATGGTATTAAATGCCGAGCTGAAATCAAAAATATGCAGTCTGGCATAACCCCCCCCCCCCCCCGCTGCTCCAAATGTGCAAGGACGGCATGGAGGGCAATCGCAACAGCGTCCTCTGTCGATCTTTTCATTTTATAAGCAAATTGGAATGTGTCCAGTCCCTCTGGTAGGCAGGCAATGACATAATTTCGTACCAGCTTTTCAAAGCACTTCATGATTATAGGTGTGAGTGCTACTGGACGAAAATCATTCAGATCTTCCGGGTTAGATTTTTTTTGCTATTGGAACGATAATAGAGGACTTTAGGCAGGATGGAACAATAGCCTGGGCTAGGGATTGATTTAAAATCCCAGTGAAAACTCCTGCTAGTTGATCTGCACAGTCTCTCAATACCCTTCCAGCTACTGTAGCACCCTGCTTGTGGTTAACGCTTAGCTGGAATGAAATATTCAACGCAGCAATAGAGAAATTAAAATAATAATTTATTTGTCAGACAAATAAATGAGAGACACAGTGGTATATGGATACCAAAGCTCTGCCTACTCCAGCCCTGATGGCCAGCACTTATATTTCCTCAGCCCAGCCCCCTTGCTCCTCCTTTGGCTGCCTCTGTCCAATCAGCCTGGTTGAAATTCCTATTGGTTGTTTGCTAGAACCAATCATAAAAGATACACCCATTTCCTATTACCTTTTATGGGAGACAAAGAGCTATATTTCCTTCTATCCATAAATGGCAGACAAGTAGCCATATATCTTACATTTACCTCGACCAGGCACCTCAATTACCAGATAACCTTTGGCCCCTGTTGCCCTATTCACTGCAAACCAGATGGCTAAAGCAGATGGTGCATGGTTTTTAATTTTTTATCTTAAAGAGATCTTGAGTTCACCTTCTCACACACCATAATAAGAATCTAACATAAGAATCTAACATTTCTTACTTTCTAAATCCTTTGCATAATTACATTTAAGCCAATATATTTCATACATAACATAGATAGATTTTTAGAAGGAAAGGCCTTTTCAAATTAAAAGGAACTTAGTAAAAGCTAAGTTCTCTAAGTTCTCTAAATTCTCTGAAGCTTCAGAGCAGCTTCGAGAGAAGCCTTTTCCATAACCAGCTGCTGTTTCTAAAAGCAACTTCTTCAATTTAACCTTTAACCTTATGAAAATATGGCTCGAGTCTTCTGTTAAACAATAAATTTCACTATTTACCAGCTCTTAATTGTGTTTTTGCAGCTTGATTGTATTCTGTAATTTGTATGGTCAGTGTGACCTTTTGCTCCCAGCCTCTAATTTCCTTTTACAACCCTGAAATACTTTTACAACCCTGAAATACAGTGGGGCCTTTGAACAGGAAGATAAACAGCTGCCAGAGTATTCAGCTGGTCTCTGCCTGGCAAATATATTTTTTAAGCTCATTTTAAAATGCAGATCTTGATTAGATGCCTCACTACCCCATCTGGCCCTGTGGCCTTCCTTGGGTTGATTCCCTTCAACACCTTCCTCATCTCTTCTTTTTCCACAGAGACTACTACATTCCTTTGTACTGATGATGGTAATGGTGGTGATGATGGCAAAGCCTTCACAGGGAGTGGTGGTGGTGTTGGTAACGCCTCAGCAGGTGTTGCTGCAGATGTTACTTCAAAGCGGGCAAAAAGGCATTCAAATCCTCTGCGAGGGATGCCCCTCCCTCGTCTGCCAGGGAGTCCTTGGGTTTATACCCTGTTAATTCTTGTACACCTTGCCACACCTGCCTGGTGTCGTTACTTTGTAGATGATTCTCCAGCCGCTGTCTATACGCCTCCTTTGCTACACGGATACCTCTCTTTAGATCGGCTCTAGCTAAGCTGTACAGTGACTTATTTCCACTTCTGAAAGCAGTATTTCTTGCCTTTAGCAACCCCTGGACCTCCCTTGTCATCCAGGGCTTCCTGTTTGGGTAGATCTTTATCCGGCGCCTCCGTGTTACATTGTCAGTGCAGAACCTAATATAGTCCAACACTTGCTCAATATGAGTCTCTACATCCTGTTGGGCGAATACCTCCCAATCTGTGTCATGAAAACAGTCTTGTAGTTGTTGGGATGCTTCAGCTGGCCATATTGTAATATCCCTCTTTATAGCTGGAGTCCGTTTCCTCAATGGAATATATGCAGGAGTCAGGAGCAGGGACAAATGATCAGATTGGCCTAGATGTGCCAATGGTTCGGCCTTATAGGCCTGTTTGACATTTGTATACAGCCTGTCCAGAGTCTTTCCTCCCCTGGTTGCACACTTTATGTGTTGATAGAATTTAGGTAGGACCACTTATTGTCGGGCAAATGGTAAATTTTTGCAAGCTTGACTGGTGTCATGTACCACCTATAAATCATTTTCATTAAATTTTCTCTTAGGGCATTACATGCCGTGAATTTCATACCTGTGGTCCATAACTGTTCCCAGTCAGCCATCATTATGTTATGTCCAACATCTTGTGCCCATTTAATCATAGCTGATTTCACCATTTCATCCTGAGTGTTCCATTTCAACAGCAAGTTATACATTCTTGACAAATTCTTGATTTTTGGATCTAACAATTCTGTTTCCAATTTTGATTTTTCCACCTGGAAACCAACTTTTTTGTCCAAATTGTATGCCTCCATTATTTGGTAATAATGGAGCCAATCTCGCACTTTGTTTTTCAATTTTTCAAAGCTCTGCAATTTTATTCTGTCTCCATCTTGATCCAGAATTTCCCAATATTTCGGCCATTTGGCCTCCATATTGAGTTTTTTCTGTGCCTTCGCTTCCATTGGTGACAACCATCTTGGGGTTTTCTTTTCTAACAAATCCTTATATCTTATCCAAACATTAAACAATGCTTTTCTAACAATATGATTTTTAAACGCTTTATGTGCTTTTACCTTATCGTACCACAAATATGCATGCCAGCCAAATGCATTATTGAAACCTTCTAGATCCAACACGTCAGTGTTTTCAAGAAGCAGCCATTCTCTCAGCCAGCAAAAAGCAGCTGATTCATAATAAAGTTTAAGATCTGGCAGGGCAAATCCACCTCTTTCTTTGGCATCAGTTAATATCTTAAATTTTATTTGAGGCTTCTTGCCCTGCCAAACAAATCTGGAAATATCTTTCTGCCACTTCTTGAAACAATCCATCTTATCCAAAATTTGCAATGTTTGAAACAAAAACAACATCCTTGGCAACACATTCATTTTTATCACAGCAATTCGGCCTAACAATGATAACTTCAAATTTGTCCATATTTCTAAATCCTTTTTCACTTCAATCCAACATTTTTCATAATTATCCTTAAATAAATTCACATTTTTGGCAGTCATGTTAACCCCTAAATATTTCACTTTCTTAACCAATGTTAGTCCTGTCTCCTCCTGAAACTTCTCTCTCTCATTCACAGTTAAGTTTTTCTCTAAAACCTTAGTTTTCATCTTGTTCAACTTAAAACCTGCTACCTGTCCGAATTCTTGAATCAGTTCCAATACCCTTTTAGTACTAGATTCTGGCTCCTGTAAAGTCAATACTAAGTCATCAGCAAATGCTTTCAGTTTGTACTGTTTAGCTCCCACTTGTATACCTTTAACCTCTTGGTCCTTTCTAATCATATTTAACAAAACCTCAAGGACCGATATAAAGAGCAATGGAGAAATTGGGCAACCTTGTCGTGTCCCTTTCTCAATCTTAAACTCTTCTGTCACTACATTGTTCACAATTAATTTAGCCTTTTGTTCTGAATAAATTGCACCTATACCATTTTCAAAACCTTGACCTACCCCCATTCCCTGTAGATTCTTCTTCATAAAACTCCAAGAAATGTTTTCAAAGGCTTTCTCTGCATCCACAAATATCAAAACTGCCTTAGTATTAATATTCACTTGTAGTTTTTCTAGAATATTAATTATATTCCTCATGTTGTCAGACAAAGGTCTGCCCAGGAGGAAGCCCGCTTGGTCTTTATGAATTTCTTCTACTAACACCTTTTTTAATCTTTTAGCCAAAATATCTGCAAAAAATTTGTAATCCACATTAAGCAGCGATATAGGGCGGTAGTTCTTGAGCTGTGTCTTTTCAGCCTCTATTTTCGGTATAAGTGTAATGTAAGCTTCCTTCCACAACTCTGGTGCCTTTCTCCCTTCCAATATTTCATTGCAGACTTACTTCAATGGTTGTATTAACCATTCTTTCAAAGATCTGTAAAATCTTGAAGTCAAACCATCTGGTCCTGGAGAGTTACCTAATTGCATGTTCTGGATGGCCCCTTCCACCTCCTGATCCGTTATTTTGTAATTCAACATTAGCTGTTTTTCCTGAGAGATTTTGTGTAGTCCATTTATTTTCAAAAATCGATCAATGTCTATTTCTTTCTGCTTCTCCTGTGTATAAAGTTGTTTGAAATACCTCTGAAAACACTTCCTGATCTCCACTGGGTTCTGTATATTCTTTCCTTCCACTTCCAAATTCGTAATAGTATTGAGTTTTTGTCTTTTTTTCATTTGCCAGGCCAACAATTTTCCACACTTATTTGCCGATTCAAATGTCTTTTGCCTCATCTGTTTAATCTTCCATTCTATTTCCTGATTCATCAGCTTCATATATTGTACTTGGTATAACTTTATCTCTTTCAGAATCTCCTGTGACTTTGGTTTTGCTCTCAGTTTCTTCTCTCCTTCCTTTATCTTCCCCAGGATTTTATCCTTTTTTCATTCTGAGTTCTCTTCTTAATTGCATTCTGTTGTATTAGGAATCCTCTCATAACCGCTTTGCTTGCGTCCCAAATTACTCTTTTTTCCACTGTAGTATTCATGTTTATCTCGAAATAGTCTCTTAGAGTTTTTTGGGCCTTCTTGGTCACCTCTTCATTCCTGAACAAAGTATCGTTCATCCTCCATCTAAAGGAACCAATTGGCGTCAGTTTCATTTCCATCTTCACAGCATTATGGTCAGAACAAGTTTTGGGGCAAATCTCCACGTTCCTGATCTTCAGAGCCAATCCCCTGGTTACCCAGATTTGGTCAATTCTTGTCCATGTCATTTTAGCCTCAGAGAAGAAAGTTCCCTCTCTTCCCAGAGGGTTCTTCATTCTCCAAATGTCAACTAAGTCCATATTTTCAATCATGTCTGTCAGGGAACTGACATCGGAGCTAGAGGTGGAGGGAAGGCTCTCAAATGATGCTGGAGAAGGGCCCAGCAGGGAGAGAGGCAGCTCCGCAGATGGGGAAGCAAATCAGCGCAACACCAGGGATAAAGGGGGGCAGATGGGGGAATCGGCGAGAGGGCTCCAGGACTCTTCACCGGACACCAGCGGGGAGAGCACGGGTCCTCCGCTACCCACGCCCTCCCTGCGCAGAAGACTTCCACGCAGAGAGAGTAGGAGGAGACTGGGTGTCAAACAACTTTTATGTTGGAAAAGATTTAAGAAACGCCCACTGACGGATTCTGCTAGCGACTGAGGCAGCCACGAAGTGAAGAGCTGCCCAGACTGAAAGGTTTAACAAGGCAACAAAGCCAGGAGAGGCGGCATCTTACTCACGAGCAACCCATACTCATTACAGCAATCCGTCAGTGCCTGACATCGCTCGTGCACAGCGACAGGCAGGCAGCATCATGAGCAAAACCGGAGAAGCTGGCGCCACGGAGGGAGCAGCTGGAGTGCAAAATCTGGTGGCGAGGAACCGAGATTTGGAACAGCATGTGACTCTGCTGACGGCGCGGCTGGACGAAAGGCGGTCTCAGGATGCTCAGGTCAGACCCACCCCCGTAGCAAGGAAGGTACCGGGAGTGGTACACAAGTTTGGAGGGAAACCCCAGGATTACAGTGTGTTCCGAACGGAAATAGAGTACGCGTTGGAACTGCAACAGAATGATTTTGCAGACGATGGGGAGAGGGTTGCCTATATTGTCGGACATCTGCAGGATGGGGCCAGAGAATGGATCAGGCCCCTAATGGCAACGCAGAATGCCGCCTTGAAAGACCTGAGGAAATTCTTCCAGGCGATGGATGCGATGTATTCCAGTGATGTACAGCAAAGTGTGACTCGGTGGGAACTGATGGGGTGCAAACAGGGGAACCAGTCAGTTAGAGACTACTGGTCACGCTTTGCCATGTTAGTCCACCGGCTCGGGTGGGATTTGGACTCTGAACCCATTCAAATGCTGTTCGAGGAGGGGTTGTCCCCAACGGTGAAGGACGAGCTTTCCCGTGCACCCCGCCCGCAGTCGATGGATCAGCTGACCAAGGCTGTGCTTGCGATTGGTCTAAGGCAGGAAGCGAGGGCCCAGGAGAAGCGGGAAGGGAGAGAGCAACGTTACCATGACTACCGCATTCCTGAAATACCAAGGCAGCCTTCCCCGCCGGCGGAGCCAATGGAAATAGATGGGGCGCGCGCGCGGGAGATTTCAAGCTCCAGTGAAGGTCGCAAGAGGGAGGGAAAGGATGGGAAAACCACCAAGAAGTGTTTTCTCTGCCAGCGGCCAGGACATTTTGCCAGGGTCTGCCCGCAAAGAAAGGCCTGGCAAGGGATGGTGGGAGCTGCAGGGGGTGAGGAGGAGATGGTAAAGGAGCAGGGAAACGCCAACGCTTGGCTGCCGCTCAGCGGGCACAGCAGCCAGGCCAGCAACCAATAGAAGTGCCCCCCCCCCCCCAGGGCGGCTATAGCCATAGAAGTGGCGCGAGAACTCCCAAATGGGCACCCAGTCAAGGTGAAAGGGCTGTTGGATTCAGGCAGTTCCTGCAATTTCTTCAGCAAGGACTTTGCACTAGAGCACCAGCTCCACCTGCTGCCCCTGGATTTCCCCTTGCAAGTAACCACCATTGATGGCAGGGAGCTTCTGGGAGGGAAGTGACGCACCAGTCCCCACAAATGATTATGAGGGTTTCCAGGCACACGGAGACAATCGCCTTTCAAGTAGACTCACTGGCAGGGCCCCAATAATATTAGGGATGAGCTGGCTAGCACTGACATGATCCAGTGGTGGCATGGCATCAGAGAACGGTCACCTTTGGGTCCGCTTACTGCTTGGAACACTGTCTAGGGGAAACCCCAAGAATGACCGTGGCCAGGGTGGCTGGGATAGCTGTGGAGCCGAAAGGGGAGGTGCCACCACAATATGCTGACCTGCAGGAGGTCTTCAGCGAGAAGGAGGCAGATAGACTACCCCCACATAGGCCCTTTGACTTCCAGATCAGCTACCGGTGGGTAAACTGTATGCCATGTCGGACAGGGAGATGAAGGAGTTGTGGGAGTTTATTGACAAGAACCTGAAGAGGGAGTTCATAAGGGAATCAAAGGCGGTGGGGGGCAGTCTGGTGTTCTTCGTGGACAAAAAAGGGACTAACCAGCCCAGATTGGTCGTAGATTTTAATAATAATAATAATAATAATAATAATAATAATAATAATATCTTTATTGTCATTGCCCCCTTCGGGGACAACGAAATTACTTGACTGCTCCATAAAAACACTAATTAATCAATACAGTATAATACAGCAAGGGAGATTAGATGACTTTCAAAGTCCGGGCTTCCCATTCAGGGCCGAGATCGCTCTGGAGAAGAAGCTGTTCTTAAGACGGCTCGTTCTTGTCTTCATCGTCCTGTATCTCCGTCCCGACGGCAAGAGCTCGAAGAGACAGTGACCAGGATGCGATGGATCTTTTACTATGTCCAGTGCCTTCCTATGGCACCTTGTGGCATAAATCTGCTCTAAGGTGGAGAGTGGGCAGCCAACAATGCTCTCTGCTGCCTTAACAACCCTGCACAACCCCATCCTGTCCTGGGTAGTACAGCTTCCGTACCACACACATAAGCCATAAGTGAGCACGCTCTCAATGGCACAGTGATAGAAGGCAAGCAGCAGTTTCTGCGGAAGATGGTTTTTCCTTAGTATTCTCAAAAAGTACAGTCTCTGCTGCGCCTTCTTCACAAGCCCCCTTGTGTTGACACTCCAGGACAGATCCTCTTGTAATTCAATGCCCAAAAATCTGAACGTTGTTACCCTCTCCACACAGACCCCATCAATCAAAAGTGGCTGGACGTTGCTCTTCTGTCTCCTGAAGTCCACCACAAGCTCCTTTGTCTTCCTTGTATTTATGAGCAAGTTGTTAGCTCTGCACCACTCTGTCAGCCGCTCCACCTCATCTCTATAATCCGTTTCACCCTCCCTTTCAGGGATGAGCCCAATCACGGTTGTGTCATCTGCAAATTTGACAACCCTATTACTAGGGTGAGTAGCGACACAATCGTACGTGTAGAGAATATAAAGGAGCGGACTGAGTACGCATCCCTGTGGTGTTCCTATGTTAGTCTTGAGCATATTAGAGGTATAGGGGCCCAACCGAACCCTCTGGGGCGGTCTGACAAAAGTCCAATATCCACCCACAAAGTGATAACGGAAGCCCCAGATCTTCCAGTTTAGACATCAGACGTTGTGGTAGAATGGTATTAAATGCCGAGCTGAAATCTAAAAAAAGCAGTCTGGCATAACCCCCGCTGCTCCAAATGTGCAAGGACGGCATGGAGGGCAATCGCCACAGCGTCCTCTGTCGATCTTTTCGTTTTATAAGCAAATTGGAATGTGTCCAGTCCCTCTGGTAGGCAGGCAATGACATAATTTCGTACCAGCTTTTCAAAGCACTTCATGATTATAGGTGTGAGTGCTACTGGACGAAAATCATTCAGATCTTCCGGGTTAGTTTTTTTGCTATTGGAACGATAATAGAGGACTTTAGGCAGGATGGAACAATAGCCTGGGCTAGGGATCGATTTAAAATCCCAGTGAAAACTCCTGCTAGTTGATCTGCACAGTCTCTCAATACCCTTCCAGCTACCCCATCTGGCCCTGTGGCCTTCCTTGGGTTGATTCCCTTCAACACCTTCCTCATCTCTTCTTTTTCCACAGAGACTACTGCATTCCTTTGTACTGATGATGGTAATGGTGGTGATGATGGCAAAGCCTTCACAGGGAGTGGTGGTGGTGTTGGTAAAGCCTCAGCAGGTGTTGCTGCAGATGTTACTTCAAAACGGGCAAAAAGGCATTCAAATCCTCTGCGAGGGATGCCCCTCCCTCGTCTGCCAGGGAGTCCTTAGATTTATACCCTGTTAATTCTTGTACACCTTGCCACACCTGCCTGGTGTTGTTACTTTGTAGATGATTCTCCAGCCGCTGTCTATACGCCTCCTTTGCTACACGGATACCTCTCTTTAGATCGGCTCTAGCTAAGCTGTACAGCGACTTATTTCCACTTCTGAAAGCAGTATTTCTTGCCTTTAGCAACCCCTGGACCTCCCTTGTCATCCAGGGCTTCCTGTTTGGGTAGATCTTTATCCGGCGCCTCCGTGTTACATTGTCAGTGCAGAACCTAATATAGTCCAACACTTGCTCAGTATGAGTCTCTACATCCTGTTGGGCGAATACCTCCCAATCGGTGTCATGAAAACAGTCTTGTAGTTGTTGGGATGCTTCAGCTGGCCATATTGTAATATCCCTCTTTATAGCTGGAATCCGTTTCCTCAATGGAATATATTCAGGAGTCAGGAGCAGGGACACATGATCAGATTGGCCTAGATGTGCCAATGGTTCGGCCTTATAGGCCTGTTTGACATTTGTATACAGCCTGTCCAGAGTCTTTTCTCCCCTGGTTGCACACTTTATGTGTTGATAGAATTTAGGTAGGACCA